GTAATTGAAGGAGAAATTTGATATTGTAGGAGGACCACAATTAGTTTTAGTCAGAAAGCACTTTTGGAAGAGGCTATGTTCAATGTAAGCCAGAGTTTCAGTAAGTAGAGCTGTAAATACTACATGCTTAAAACAAGAAAGTTTGTATGTTGGAGTGCTTGTGGGGAAGGCCACAGTCCATTTGACTGGTGCATTGGGGCAAAAGGCAGAATAAGGAGACATTGGGCTATTGGGTTGAGGCTAGTCCAGTGTGAAAACCAATCTAATGAATTTGCATTTCAAAGGTAGCCTTAGATTTTTAATGTTTCTGAGAATGGGACTGAAATGATCAGAGCCCTCTGTAGTTACTTGTAGAATGAGGCTTTTACTTTAGTCCCCATGGAATACCTTGAGGGGAATGTGTGTGTGTGTGTGTGTGTGTGTGTGTGTGTGTGTGTGTGTGTACATGCACACACATGCTAACAGTTGTGTATGAATGTATTTTGGTTTGCTTTTGTAATGTCTTCACACTGAAGAGGACAGTTAAAAAAGACCTTTAGAAACCTAGCTTGGCAGAACCATGATGTCATTGGAATATAACCATCCTCCTACCCAAAAGCAGCTTAATTTAGTCAGTGGAAAATATAACATGCCGCATTTCTATATTTTACTTAACTGTAATTCATGAATGTTTACTGAGTTCAGTGCCTAACTATGGGACACTGTGTCTCTTGGCCAAAAATTTTTGGTTATTAAGTAAGTGAATTTTGTGTAATAAAAAGATTTCTGATGTTGCCTGTTTATTCCTAAACAAAAGCCTATGTATATTTGTATAGAATCTCCAATGAGGCCAACAGCTCACTTGAGTCAGTGCTCCTAGCTCCCTAAGGCTCCATATTAAGAAAATATAGTTATTACCTTAAAACTCCATAAAAGGTCCAATACCTAATTTGTCTGCTGGGAGTCAATAAATAAGTTTTGCCAGTGACACAATCTTTACTACCTCTTTATAGATTTTTTTTTTTGGTCCATCAACCTCCCAAGGGCAGTAATAGCAGCAGTTGTGTTTATTATTATAAAAGATAGAATTTCAGATTCTCTTTCTGAAGTGACACTTTGTAGAATAATGTTGCTTTTAAAGTTACCAATGATAAAAATGACACCCAATGTTCTGGTGTTTGGCTTCCAATAATAAGAATGCCATCCAAATTAAAACTCCCTTGTAAGTTCAGTCTTCCTACAAGAGTGAAAATTTTATTCCAACTGAGTTTGGTACAAGAAGCTCTTCATAAAATTTCCTTCACATTGAATTCATTCTGTTCCCTGTGCAAGATGATTCATGGGTGGTTCAAAACATGAAAGGGAGAAATCCTGATTTGAATCCTGAAATCTGTATTTCTCCTTAGGAAACCAATGCAAGCCAAATCCCTGTTAGATCTAGAGAGAATGGGACCAATGCTAAGTCCTACTAGAGTCTTTTCATTCAAAAAGATGACATTACTTGATTGAAGTGGAAGTCTTCTGTAGCATTTAGGGTCATCATATACCCTCTTTTTTAGATGCTTGTCCCCCAAACCTAGTATCTTTATTGAGAGCAGTGTCCCTCTTTTCTATGCTTGCAAAAAAAAAGGTAGAATATACTGATTTCCCCTGAACCCTATTTTGGTGAACCCCCTTGGGAATATGGATTTTGTACCAACTATAGTTCAAAATTTACAACCTAAACTTCGAAGGCCAGATAATAAGTTACCTAAGACATGTTAGGTAGATTATTCTGTTGTATTAATATTTTCCAGAATCCCTGATTTTTTTCTGGAGCATTTCTTGATTTGAAAATATATTTATTAAGCATGAACTGAAACACTGGATATAAAAACATAACATGGTCCCTGCCCTCAAGTCTAGTGAGGAAGACAAATTGAGTAAACCATCCATTATATTAGAGTATAATGAGGACTATAACTGAGATAGGATTAAGGCGGTAAAACCTCCAAGAAGGAGACTCTTTATCTGGGCACATCAGAGAAGGTACCAAAGAGGCAGCTTGTATTCAGGCTTGAAGCAGGAGTAAACATTTTCCAGATGGAAAAAGGGAGGGCTATGAGACAGAGCAAAAAAGCAGCAATGTGTCCTCATTTTCCATTTTACACATTTGCTAAAACAAATGCAGAATCATTTAAGCCACTTCCTAAGGAGTGAAAAAACTGAACATTTTAAAGAAAAATTAAGTGACTGATTTCTTTATTAAATCTCTGTAAAAGATGAGTTTATTATTAGTCCTGTTAGCCTGCCCAGATCTCAGTTTGGATAATTACATTCCTCCTACCTAATTTATCCCTGTAGTTTTAATTGGTTTCAGAATTCAACTACACTTCTCTTCAATTTTTTTGTAGTGTTGTTATTTGGTATCAAACAGCTGTTGTGTTCTATCACAGAGCTGAATATTTTTCAGCAACTGATTGCAGTCCTACAGGGCAAATAAGGCAATTTGCAAGGGCTCTGAGATGACAAATAATCCCTTAATGCATAGATGTGTGACGTTAATTATCAATAGCAATGGTTACTACTCATAGAGTCACTGCTCTTAGAATAACAGAGCAACGCCTTTGGTCTACAGAGTCATATATGCAGAGAAAGAGCCTTGTTTCTTTGGATAGTGTCTCTGGGTTGACACTCAAAAATGTTGATCATCTTTCTTCCACTTTGCTGAGGTCACACTGGTTTTAATTAAATATACAGCAGTGTACTAAGAACAGATGTTCATTTTCTTCTTTAATCAACTTAGAGGGGGTTTGTGAGGTCATTTACGTATTTCACAACATGCTCGGCAGCCATTCTGCCTTCCCTCATTTGTTTGTCTGTATCTGACAGGGGATGACAAAGACTAAAAGTCTACAGCTAAAAGCTGCTCCGACCTCAGTGTGTGAATGAATTTCATCCTTCTCTCAGGGACCCACATTGTTAAGTCTCATGTTCAAACCCCTAATGGAGATGAGCAGTCTCTGCCCGCCATTATGATTTTCATTGTTGGTTAGTAGTGTTCAGACCCAGGCTAAGTAATCAAGACCTATAAGAAGAAATGGAAACAGCTTCTTTCTCTATCTTTTTCACATCAGAAACATTTTTCTTTGCTCTTTTGATGAGTATGGTAGAACATCTGAAATATCTTCCACTGAGAATTGATGTTCACTAAGGAATTCATTTCTACCTAAATATCCTTAAACTTTATCACCCAAATATCTGAAAAGTCATGGGTCCTAGGCCAATGTGGTCACCACTGAAATGCACGTGCTCACTGCTGGCCAGCTGTAGCTGTGTCAATGGCCCCAACTTGTGGAAATCAGTAAGACAGCAAAGCCTTTGTTCACTTTGGGGAATGTACGGCAAGCAAGGGCAGCACAGAGTCCAGCATTAGTGCCAGGAAGGGAGAGCAAGCAGGTCCTGACCAGGGCCGGGACTGCCAATAGCCAGCCACCTCCACGCTCTCTGTTTCTCGTTCAAGGACAGTCCACCCCATAACATTTCCTGTATTACCTGTTATCCTAACATGTCTGACCTGTACCAACTGCCCATGTTTTTTCCATGACTATGCATCTCATCAACATTTTTCCAAACTTTCCTAATGACTGGAAAATCCAAGAAGCCACTCTAGATAATTAGGAGCTAAGGACCCAAAGTAGTAAGTACCCTGTCTGGACCACCACCCTCACAGCTCTGCAAATCGAGCGTAATACTGATTTCACAATACCTGTGAAAACTAAAAGGCATATCAAGCTTCCAGAAAAGTCCTGGGACCTAGGACTATCTAGTAAATATCAGTTTCCTCTCCTGACTCCTCTATAATTCTGTAAGTTCACAGGTCTAGAAGACAAGGAGCAAATGTTAAGTGCCTCAAAGACACCAGAATTGAGTGTCTCAAAGGCAGTTTTGGTGTAAGGACAGGTGGACTCAATGCAGAGAAAAATGAGAGCCAGGGAACCAGGGGCTGATGGGATGTCTCGCAAAAGCAAAGAGAAGCAGGATTGAAGAGTTACAAACTTTACTTCTCCCAGCCTTCTCTGATAATAGGGTTTGGGGGTGCACAGACATGGCAGGAATGAGTTGCCGAGTAGGCCTGACTCTAAGCAATAGTTTTACCTTGCCGTCCTAGGTAGAGGATAATGTGCGTGCAGGCAGGAAGGCAGTTTAGACAGATGTAACTGTGTGCAAATGCATATGAACATGGCTTGTTCCAGATAAAAAAACAAAAACAAAACAGTGGTTCAGTATGGCCAGAGCACAGGAGATTCGTGGACACAGTAGTGGGGGAAGGTCAGGAAAGGAAGTTGAGTCTAGTTGTGAGGACTTGTGGACCACACATGGAGTCACCCTTATCCCCAAGGCAGTGGGAACCATCACAGGACTTTAAATAGAAGGGTGATACATCAAATTCTGTTCACAGACTGCAGCATATATAGTGAAGTTGAGAGAGATTGTAGGGAGGCAAAAAAATATTGTAGAAGCTTCCTCAGTAGTCCAGGGCAACAACTTACAAGGGCACGTATACCTGCCTTCTTTGCTTGTTTTTTTTTTTTTTGTAAACCCTACATATCATTCTCTTTACTGACAGCTGTGATGGAAAGTGGAGCCTCGAAAATGAGTCTGTTTTGAGTTACACAGTATAACCAGGATATAGAAACTGATGATGGTTACTTAGAAATAGGATCACAATGGGGAAGATTTAGTGCCTAGAGATAGCAAAAATAAAATAAAATGGATTCTTTTGCTGATGAAGATCAATGTTAGTATTTGCTTGTCTTGCCATCAAAGGTTTTAATCAACATTGTCCTTCCATTTCTAATGCCTTGCTTTCCATGCTGCTTCTCCCCCCACAGGTTAAGCCAAATTAACTACTAATTAAGCCATAACATTTGAAAATGACTTGTGAGGCTTTGCTATATTATTAATAAAATGAAAGGAATGGCAATCAATTTGGAAACTTCATTCACTCATTGAACAAACACAATTTGGACATCTGTTACCTGTATTTGTCAGCTATTATGCTAACAATTGTCAATACCAAGATGGCAAACAGTGTCCCGCTTCTCAGAGCTGAGCCGAGGCGTGGGAGGGGTAGCTGAGGATCCCATCAAGTGGGAGTATTGTAAAGGAAGTACTGGATCCCAAGCCTTCATGGAGGAGTGGCTCTTTTGCTCCTTAGAGTACCTGTTACAATGACAATGTCAGCCTCAAATCATTGGGTTACAAGTGAGACATTTCAGGGACTGTGTTGCTGGGCATTGGTACCAAATTGTCTGGTTCAAATCCCATCCCTACCACTTATTATCTCTATTTTTTCATTGATAATTGTGAGGATCATGTGGGTTAATAGCTATGAAGTGCTCAGAGCAGTGTCTCACACATTGTAGCTGCCCAGTTATCACAGTTACCATCTAGTATTATTTGTGTTGTTAGGATCAAAAGCCAAACAACTTACAATGGCAAAGTGGAAAAATACAACATAGTTGAACAGATCAAATACATCAACAGAGAGATACCTTCCCTCAATATCTGTCCTCTCTCTACAGAGGTAAATATTCTCCTTTGGCACTGGTTCTCAACAGAGAGTGACCATCTCTGAAATGAGATGACTGCAGGAAAGAGTTTGTTGTTGTTCTCACTCTCCAAGGGTGACATGGGGAATGGGGCCCCTTTGGGAACTATAAGATGAAATTTAAGACCATTATCTTAAAGTTCTAAATCTATCTTCCTGCATACAGCTATGTTTTTATTAGTGCTCTGCAAATAAAGATCTTGGGAAATAACAATATATAGAATTAGCCCTATCTATTGACCCAGTGCTGTTTTAAATTAGCCCTTTTACTCCTCATTTCCAGATTGATTCAAGCTCCTCTCAACCTCAAATGCATTTTCAGTCTGGTGCTTTAAATAGTATAACCAACCAAAATGCTGGCACTAACTTTCAGGGTATAGGACCCCACCAACAGCATTTCCTTCTGAGTTCACAAGGCCCTCCACAGATTGCTTTCTCTTCAATCCACGGGTGTGATGCCTACAAGGGTAACTTTTGTGCCAAAGAGGACTTTGGAACTTACAAATAATGTCCTTCTCTAGGAGTAGTCAGGCTGTGCTAAGAAGGGCATTGGGCTGGATGAGGAAAAGTAACCTGACTCTGACCTTAGAAAAAACACAACTTCTGGGGCTTTCATTCCTTCATTTGTAAAATGATGGAGGTAGGTTTGAACTCCACGGTTTTACGTATTTCAGGTTCCCACCTAATAAAAAGTGATGACTGTTCTGGTCAAATACATAATTGAGTGAAATCCTTAAAAGAGAAATGTAAGATTATTTCATTCATTAACTACACAAGCATTTGTTGAATGCCTAGTATGTACCTGTCCCAGGTACAGTGCTCGGGGCATGGTGGTAGGCACGGATAGGTCCCTATCCCCATGGAGTGTATATTCCAAAGGGGGAAACAGATAATAAACAAAGAAATGAGCAAAATTATTTCAAATTATTAGAAGAGCTCAGAGGGAAGTAACAGAGTAATAAAAGAGAGTAGCCGGAGGGGGCTCAAATGTCTTAAGAGTGGTCACAGACAGCTCTCTCTTTTTCTCAGATACATTTTAATTGTGTCCAGAATGAAGAGTGTGCCACAAGGGAGAAGGAAGCGTGGTTTCCAAAAGAGGGTACAGCCCACTGCAAAGACCCCCAAGGACAGAAAATATTCGGGACTTTTAACACAACTAACATTCCACACACTAGCAACTAGTGGGAGATTTATAGCTGCTTTGGGAGGAGGCTTCAGAGATACGGTTCACAGCGGGCAGACCATGCAAGTTATGACCTATATCCCAAAACATGCCTGCTCCCAAAAGAACTCTTGAGATGAAGTATATGAACCATATACTGTGAGCAAGCCAGCAAAAGCAATCTGCTTTCTGGGATCCAGGGTTGTTGTGAAAATCACATGGTTTACTCTTGGGTGAGTAAGCCCTTGTAAGCTTGAACCACCCTGCAGATCTAAGTTATGATTATGCCTTCTGCTAACAGAGATCATACAGATGGCTTCTGCAAGCACCCTTTACTTCTAATCATGCAGCTTGGTTCTGTGGGCAGCTCTGTTCTTTCCTGCTTCTGTCTTGCTTGGTACAGATCAGACTGACCTTGCCTGGGCTTCTACTCATAGCATCATGACCATCAAGCAGACAGATTTTTGTTTGACTTGCTTACTGAGACCCCTGGAAACTGCTCAACAGCATGATTCTGAAAACACCATGTAGATGGCATCTGGGCAGGACGAGGGTAACCACTTCTGTTTCACACAAATGTGAGGCAAGAATAAATTTAGTCTCATTTGGGTCACATATATCTCTGGAAAGTAATAAATGAAAAGACAGAAACCTAGGTAAAAATGAACCCCCAAAAAAGTGTCTTCTAAATCCTGAATTGAGTTAGTGAAGGACTTTAGGAGACATAAGAAACCAGAGAGAAAGAAGCAGAAAGGCAAACCTAGTTAATAAAAAGCAGAGGTACTATTAAGAGGATCCAAAAATTGCTAAAATACCCTACCATGGCAGTATTTCTGATCGAACCTTCATGTCGCCATGTTTCTTAGTTTGACCAAATGCAGCCTTTCATTTGATCTCACTAAATTTTTCACAATTGGGATCAATTCTGCTCTGAAACATAGTCTTCATAATACAATCTCCAAAACCATATAATAGGATGAACTCTATCAGCAATTCCCTGCACATTGTTGATGTATTTCAGGATATATGCTTTGATCAGAATCACATCTAAGTCTATGTAATAATAATTTCATATTTTATGGACATTCCATAATGTTCCAAATAAAAATATTTAGATGATAACAAATGAGTGAACTACGAAACAATCCATTTTATGTCATCATTTCAAAAAAACACCTTGTCTGGTGCTAGACATATATTGAGCAGGCAACTCAATAGTATTTCTTGAATGAAAAGTGTTCAATAGAATGTTTATCTCTAAGAAAAGTCATGTAATCTAGTCCCTGTACTAACGTTGAATGTGATCTGGAATCTATATGCTTTGTTTATGAAGTGGAAAAAATTTTGGAGGATGTTTGCAGTTGGAAAGTATTAGTTACAACAGACTTTTAGTGTCTTTGGAAGAAATTTTCTAATACAACTGAGGATTAAATCATTTCATGGGAAAATACACAGGGACCCCATGTATCTGACATATGCCCCTACCTCATCCCCAAGCCAGCTCTTCACCTGAGTAATGCCTACTTGTCCTCCAGGCAAATGAACCTGATTTTAAATCCATATCAAATCTCCTTTTATATACTCATAGCTGAGTGTGATGGCCTCAAAATACTAACCTTGCTGAGGATCCAGCTCAAAATGTCACAAAGGTAAAGGCTCTTTAATTGTTCACACAATTATAGTTTTGTGTCTGTTTGGTTCCATACTTGATGAATGCCTTATTTATTTGTGCACATTAGACTGTAAGGTCCTTGAGGACAAGATCATGACAAATGCTTTCTCTTCTGGCACAGTGCCTGGGCAAAACTAAGTGGTCAGTGAAAATTTTTCTAATAAATAATGTATGACGTGGTTTTTGTGTCCATAACCTGTGTGGACCATTAGTCACCTTAAGCAGTCAGAGAAACAACCTTTAAAACTGGTAAATGACAACCAGTATTTTAATCTAAATGCTGTGCTCTCTGTGATGGTGTGGGGATGGTCCTTTGTTCCTTGTAGATATAAAGGCCAAACATCAAATATTCTTTCTTTTTTCCAAAACAAACATTTTAACCAATGTCCCTAACCAGTTTCTTCTCTTATATTTGACTATTAGTTGTCTTTTCTCATATAAATCTTATTTTTACCCAAAGGTATATGTGGCAGCTCCAAATTGTAATTAAATTAAAATTAAAAAGAATAAAAAGAGAAAACTGGACTTGGAGTAGTTACAGCTCCTTTTGGAAACTCCTCACAGCAAGCTACCATGGCTCTGGGGAACCACAAGGAAGTAAGGCTGCCGGGCTCTGGGACGTTGGTCTCTAAGACAAAGCCTTCTCCTTTCAACTTTATTAGAGAAGTAGTTTCTGAAAATGAATTCCTCGTGTAATATTGCCCTCAGATGTGGCCTTTCTTCCCTGGCAAGGATAATCAGTAGTACTGCTAGAATGCCCCTTCTGAAGGAAGCCCCAAAGGTGCCAAATGCTCTAGAAAATTCCATGCATACCATGGCTGAAACCAGGCCTCCCACCTTACAGTTTAGAAATAATGCCATTCTTAAATTATAACCTGTCTTCTTTTTGAAAATAATAAAGAAAAACCCTTACATAAGAATGTGATTTTTCAGCTATCTGTTGCCACAATGCTGTATAACAAACAACCACAAAACTCAGTAGCTTATAACAATAAACATCTATTTTTTGATCACACAAAAAAGAAAAAGAATTTCCTGAGACCTTGTCCAGTGGTATTACCCTTTGTTTCTTCTTTATTGTCCATCTTATCTTAGTGTCCTTTACTCTAATTACAGTTCCCTCCTTTAAGTACTGCCATGGGACCAGAACACTAAAACCCCACTGGCTTACTATTCCTCTCATCTTGACCCTTACTTGGATGATTTTCACTTGTAAAGTCAAGCTGCGCCCTAGCCTAGAGTCTAGGGATGAATGCATCAAATTGCACTTGAGATGCCATGGGGGAGGAGGGATATCTTGAGAAGATGCCTGTCAAAAATCAGATCACCCCAACCTCCAATCAGTTCTACACAGTGGTATAAAGGGCATATCAAACTGTGGGCAAAGGGTCTCTTTGTGTTTATAAAGAGGATCAAAGCTTAATTTGGCTACCCAGAAAATGAACTAAGATACAATATGAAGAAGAACTTCCAACATCAGCATTCTCTGGAAGACTCACACCAGAAGATGATCATCAAAAAACCTCCACAAAGATCCAGGCGATGCTG